CGAAAACATTTGATGAAACATTTCTGAAACAATTTTGTTTTGTTTGCAGATTTGAAAACTTTTTCAGGTCCCGTCTCAGGTCGGTAAAGATCAAAAGGTCTGTGTTTTGTCTGTGTTTTTGACGACAAGTTGTCGACGCAGTGTGGACGCGTGTGCGTGCCAAAACGAGTTAAGCAGTAGGAGAAATAGAATGTACAATTTTTATCAAAATCAAGTGTATTTTTCTGTTGTGTAGTGAATAAATAAATACTAGTGTATTTTTCTAAACATGTCGGGGGACAAAAAGTGGAATACACAAAATACATGCAAGTTAATAGAAATTTACAGGGAGCATCCGATATTACGAGACCCTAAAAATAAAGATTATAAAAATCGCTACAAGAAAGCCGATGCATTAAAGGAAATTTCTTTATCGCTAAATGTGCCACTAAATGATGTTGAAAAGAAAATAAAGAATGTTAACAACCAGTATGCTAGAGAAAGACGAAACTACAAGAAACTTAAAAAATCTGGGGCTGGGAAACTTTTCAGTTCAAAATGGTTTGGTTATGGTAGGAATCACCTGTTGCTAAAAATCTTAAAGTGATTGCTAAACGTTCTGTTACACTTATAGCATTTCTAAAGTTAGTATGTCTTTTTGCAACTGCAGGACCAACAAGGCATATTAGATTCTCAAAATCTTCGGTGGACATTCTTAAAAAAATTTTGAAGATTGATCGAATTTCACCACTTAGTCCAATATTATCTGCGCCCCGCTGAACTAACAATTTGTCTATCGAACAACTTTCTCGCATTTTTAGGCTTGGTCTAATCCAAAAACGTTTGGGTTTTCGTTTAGCAACCTGGGATGATGATGAGAGCAAAAAAAAACAACTTGCGGCTAGCAATAAATCTTCAGTTTCATTTTTTTCTTGATTAAAACGCCACATGGTTAACCAACACTAATCACAACAACAACGTCCCCAACTGAATTTTGTTTTTATATTTTGTTGTTCTGGTGTGGACAGTTTGTCTCAATTTTGTTTTGTCTTTTGACGACAAATTTTGTCGCCGGTTTATCGTGTTTTTGTTTCAGAATTGTGTTTTCGTTTTGTCTGCTTGGTCTGGACCCGGCATTACGTACTTAAAAAACAAAACAAAAACTTAAAAAATCCATGTTTTAAATTATTTTTAATACAAAATTTGCAGTTTCATAGGTGATGCGATACTTTTTTGGCGGAGTGTATATATTCAGGGATTCTACAGTATTCACTGCCTTCCCTCGCTTAACCGTTTCCATCTCTCTCTGTTGTCCCATTCTCCATCTTTAGGCCTCTCTTACTCATGGCGTCGTCTACTTCGTTCCTCCAGGATCTTCGGGGTCGTCCTCTTTTCCCGGGTTACCAAAAAATAATTTGTTTTATAATAATTGCTATCGATTTGCAACCAAAAATTGTTTTCTTGATGTCAATATTTACAGACAATGACTAAAAAGTTCTAATGCCGGGTCCAGACCAAGCAGACAAAACAAAAACATTCATGTTTCGCGACAAAGTGGCGACAAATCGAAAACATTTGTTGAGACATTTCTGAAACAATTTTGTTTTGTTTGCAGATTTGAAAACTTTTTCAGGTCCCGTCTCAGGTCGGTAAAGATCAAAAGGTCTGTGTTTTGTCTGTGTTTTTGACGACAAGTTGTCGACGCAGTGAGGACGCGTGTGCGTGCCAAAACGAGTTAAGCAGTAGGAGAAATAGAATGTACAATTTTTATCAAAATCAAGTGTATTTTTGTGTTGTGTAGTGATTAAATAAATACTAGTGTATTTTTCTAAACATGTCGAGGGACAAAAAGTGGAATACACAAAATACATGCAAGTTAATAGAACTTTACAGGGAGCATCCGATATTATGGGACCCTAAAAATAAAGATTATAAAAATCGCTACAAGAAAGCCGATGCATTAAAGGAAATTTCTTTATCGCTAAATGTGCCACTAAATGATGTTGAAAAGAAAATAAAGAATGTTAACAACCAGTATGCTAGAGAAAGACGAAACTACAAGAAACTTAAAAAATCTGGGGCTGGGAAACTTTTCAGTTCAAAATGGTTTGGTTATGAATTGCTAAGTTTTTTGCGAGACAAAAATAAGCCTCGAAAGAGCTTGCAAGTTGGATGTTCAGAAGAAACACACGTAAGTTAATTAATATTTATTATTATTTTTTAAAGTTTATCAAATTCAAAAACTAGGTATTTTTTAATCATTCAATTATACAGGGTGCACCCACATATCATGTCAATATTTTAACAACCTGATTTCTGAACCAATTTTAAGGTGAATTAATATCTATACTGAAAAGGAAGCATTTGTGGACAAACTAGTATAAAACAGTGCATTTTTTGATACGCTGTACATACATGGTTAAATAGTATATATTATAATAAAAGTATTATACAAGTTAACAGTATTGTAATTGCCATGGTACTTGACCTTGATTTGTCATAAAATACTCAGCATACTCATCTCTGATGGCCCATGCCTCCATAGATGCTTTTCGTGTAATATTCGTAAGAGATAAAAACGAAGCACTCGGTTGGGAATCTCTTCTCCAAGAACCTGGTTCTATTGTTCCTGTTTCTAAATCTTCCTTATCAAATGTTCCTGGAGGATTGTAATTACTTCTGGTTTTTGAATTTTTTCTGAAGTAATTATGAAGCAAAACGCATGTTAATACTATTTTTTCGGCCTTCTCTGGTTGTAATAACATCGGTTTACGAAGTACGCGAAAAACAGCTGCAAGTATCCCAAAAACATTTTCAACCACCCTACGTGCTCTGCATAACCGGTAATTAAACACTCGATTTTTTGAGTGTTTTTCTTGATGCCCACTATATGGCTTCATTATAGCAGTTGTCAAGGGGAAGGCATCATCCGCTACAAGGATATAGGGTACAGGTAATTGCCTATCAGGTAGCCTACAATTTTGTGGGCGATTTAACGCAGAATCCTCCATCAATTTATGAAAACATGTACTCTTAAATACACCTCCGTCTGAAATACGTCCCTGACAGCCCACACTTGCATAAATGAAGTTATAGTTTGCATTTACAATTGCAAACAATACAATGCTAAATGTACCTTTATAATTATAAAATTCACTACCACTATGCATGGGTGCTTCGATTACTACATGTTGCCATCCATGGCACCAAGGCAGTGAGGAAAATTCCAAATCTTTTCATAATCATCACTAATCTTTTTTCATTCAGCTTCATTTGTGGGTACCTGAAAAGAAAAATAAAATTGCAAAGTTTCAATTGAATTTGCGTAGAAAATTTACTATGATGTTTTTTCCAGGAATCTGACTCTTCACAGTCTTCAATATATGAAAGTGAACCAGATGGCACTGATACTATCCCTAGCGAGAGACAACAGACAACCGATATTGAAACAATGCAGAATATGGAAGAACATACTGAGATGACTACTGATGAACTTAATACGTCTTCTATAACGGTAAAGGAAAAAGGGAAAGTAAAGGACAATAAAAAAACTTCTGAATTGACTACAATAAACAAAGCTTATAAACAGATGGATATATCACAAAATATGGAGCGTAGGAATGAAGAAGTGTACAACATAGTCACATCATTACAGAAGGATCGTCTAGAAAAATTACACAATAAGCCTGATAAATTTGATATAATAGGTGAATTGGTAGCTCAAAAGTTAAGGAGTCTACCCACACCCTATGCCCAGTCCACAGTAGAACATCTAATTCACAATCTATTATATGACGCTGAAATGGGCAAGTATAATGAACCCAAGAAGCCACCACTATTCCAGGTACAACGCCAAATGGAAGAATTTATTCAGTCTCCCACAGGATTTTCTGGTTCTTCGTGCTCAAATCCACTTAGTCTCAACACAAATGTTCACTCAACTCCACCCAGCACTGACACACAACATTCATACTCAAACCTCCCAGCATTGAAACACATTTATACACAAATCCACCCAACACGCAACATTCATACTAAAATCCACCCAGCGCTGACCCACAAAATTCATACTTAAATCCACCAAGCACCAACACACAACCTTTATTTTCACATCCACCTAGTATTGACACAGAGCTTTCTCAGTATTCAGTTCAAGAAAACGATCGAAATTGATGATGAACTTTTTGAATATAAACACAAGTAGACTCATCATTATTTTGTATCTAGTATGTACCTATCGTCAATTTCTTTTATATTAAACATTTAACCAATAAATATAGAGTTTATTTTAAGGGATATTAACAGAAAAATAGTAATGAAAAAAGTTTAACATACCTGTACATAACCACTAAGACTGTTAATTAAAGCTTTACATACTTCAGGTATTATTACAGATACTGATTGCTTTGATACTTTTGTTCTGTTCTGTTACACTTATAGCATTTCTAAAGTTAGTATGTCTTTTTGCAACTGCAGGACCAACAAGGCATATCAGATTCTCAAAATCTTCGGTGGACATTCTTAAAAAATTTTTGAAGCTTGATCGAATTTCACCACTTAGTCCAATATCATCTGCGCGCAACTGAACTAACAATTTGTCTATCGAACAACTTTCTCGCATTTTTAGGCTTGGTCTAATCCAAAAACGTTTGGGTTTTCGTTTAGCAACCTGGGATGATGATGAGAGCAAAAAAAAACAACTTGCGGCTAGCAATAAATCTTCAGTTTCATTTTTTTCTTGATTAAAACGCCACGTGGTTAACCAACACTAATCACAACAACAACGTCACCAACTGAATTTTGTTTTTATATTTTGTTGTTCTGGTGTGGACAGTTTGTCTCAATTTTGTTTTGTCTTTTGGCGACAAATTTTGTCGTCGGTTTATCGTGTTTTTGTTTCAGAATTGTGTTTTCGTTTTGTCTGCTTGGTCTGGACCCGGCATAAAAAATAAATCTATTTAAACTTGAAAATGATATATCAAATCACTAGACTAATTTTTATCTATTTAAACTGTTTCTAGGATAAACTAGCACGCAAAGCCAAATTCTCCAATCAACCAGAAGTTGTGACACCAGCAGCACCTGTTGTAACACCTACTCCCGCCAAACCTCAAGTAAATTATTCAGAAGTCAAATTGCAAATACGATTACCTGATGGTTCCAGTCTGACACAGACGTTTGGGGCCAAGGAACCGCTTTCCGCAGTGAGAGTTTTTGTGGAAATGAAAAGAAACAATCCAGATGACCAGTTTATCCTAATGACGAGTTTCCCCAAAAAAGTATTTGACATTGAAGATTATGATAAACCTTTAGATTCTCTGGGTAAGTTCAATATCTGGGCATTTCTTGAATGTGTGTAATTGTGTCATAATTTATTAAATTAAATATATAAAAAATTAAGCCGCCATAGTTCCAGCCTTATTTAATTGATAGTTATTGAAAATCATTTATTATAGAATCGTTTTATTGCAAAATTAATATTTAATAGGAACAAATTGATTATTCATTTTATATAATTAGTCGTCGGAAGTGTCTTTCTTGTTGTATCCAATAGTATCCGAGTCGATTTGTTATTTAACAAGTTGTTTTCAGTATTATCTTTCTTCTGAAATCATCCAAATTTCAACTGGACTCATATTGTAACAAAACTTGAGCATATTCATGTGTCAAGAAAGATCTGTATCAGGACCAACACTATGGAGCATTCTGTATAATGATCTCTTAGAGACACATTATGACAGACATGCAACTGCAGTGACATATGCTGACGATTTTGCTATACCAGTACGAAATAACACAGACTACGAAACTATACAATAAATTTATAGGTGCTGCAGGAAATTGAACAATTGATGAGTGCAAAAGATAAAAAATTATTGTTTTGGTACCGAAACGTGGATTATTATGGTAAAAGGACCTAGAAGAAGAGCTTTATTAACTTTTATAATAAGTTTTGTAGTGATGTAGTGCACCTCACATGTATCGTCATATTTGGAAACAAGCGATTCTAAAATGTGTTATTAAAAGTATATGTAAGTCTGTGGTGTTATGGCAGAAGTTGATGTGTTTAAAAAATCGTGTTTTCAGTTTTCAATTGATATGTACTCTAAAAAGAATATTTAACAGGGTGGCATAACTAGATATGTGCTTAAGTTAAAAGAGAAGGTGATAGGCAGTAGCATATGTTGATATGTCGAAATTTAAAAAAGTTTAAGTAGCCAGAACATGATATGTTACATATCAAGTAATGCCCACACATAAAAAAATGCCATACACATGGAAAAAGATGATATGTAAAAGTACATTTTGATATAACAATAAAACACTGAAAACTTTGTTTTCAAAACTTCCACAAAATTTATTATATCACTACAGCTGTTTCGGCAGAGTACCTTTCTTAAGTGATCTATTTTTGGTCTGTGTTTATACTTTATAGTCTTTACCTGAATAGGTTGAGAAGGAGAGAACTGTTGGTCTCAAGTTGGTCATTCAGCATTATGTATGTATTTTTTAATTTGTTAATTTCCATAGATTCTAATAAAGATAGCTTAAGGCCTTTATTCTGTCATTAAAAGAATGATTGTGATCTCGAAGAAGAAGTAAGTATGTAGAATCTGTGTTTCTATTATTGAAAGCCCGTTTATGTTCTGCTATATATTTGTTAAAAGTTTTACCAGTTTGGCCGATGTAAGTTTTTAAGCAGTCACCACATTTAATTTTGTATACACCATTGTGTAAACTGTAAGTGCTTTTTATTTTGGCTCTTGTTGTTTTTAATATATTTGCCTAAGGTGTTGTTTGTTCTAAAAGCCTGTTATTCCTTTATTTTTTAGTGTTTGGCTATGTTTGTTCATATCTTGCCTGTATATTCAATCGAGCAGAAGGTACTGGGTTTTTTCTCTGGTGGTAAAAATACTAATTTCAGTGCTTTCTTATGTAGTTTTTGATTAAAACTTTTTTAATTGTTTGTTTGTTGTACTCATTGTTTACTGCTATTTGCTTAATGATATTTAATTCTATCCCAAACTGGTATTTTGACATCGGAATTTCTATTAATCTTTGTAACTAAAAAAATGTTAGATGAATATAAAAAGATCGTGGACGCAGTGGTTGTAAACCTGGATCTTACGATATGTTTAAAAACGTTTTTAAAACAACAGGATGCACATTTAAGAGGCCACACGTTGATACCTTAAAACGTGTGATATTTTTACTTTAAAATTGAAGCAATGACGAAAAAACTGCTGTAGAGGTAGAGTATAATCAACACAAAGAAGCCTCTGATATGGGTTACTCAATCAAACGAATTGATAAAGCTGCTGCTGCAATCTCATCTGAAAAACGAGTTCTTGTGTTTGATTTGCAGCCAATCTTAAACATACTATCTTTGACAGCAAACGTTTTTTTTTTCCTATAAACGTTTATTGTCGACTTAAAACTTAACAGTTAGGGATGGCAGTGCAGGCATAACCGATCGTTTTATGTGGCATGAAGGTATTGCAAAAACAGGCTCAGAAGATATTGCGTCCTATTTATTTAAGAAACTGCAGTTTACCTTCTAAAGTGTCACACGTAATAACCTATTCTGACGCTTGCGGCGAACAAAACCGCAATATTAACATGAGCATAATGATGAGTTACATAGTAGCAACCTTTATTAACGTGATAAATCAAAAATTTCTACTTCCTGGTCACACGCAATTAATGTGATGTCGATCACGCTAAAATAGAAAGATAAAAAAACTGACAGACATTTCCATAATAATTCCTCGTGACTGGTATCAATTTGTTGGTAGGTGGTACGAAGCCGTTTCGAGTTCATGAATTAACACAAACAGATTTTTTTTCATTTTCTAAGTTATTAAATGACGTTTTAATTAAAAAACTAAAAGTAATGAAGGGTTTAAAATCAATTGGCCAAAAATAAGATGGATTAGATACGAAGAATAATTTGTGAGTTATTAAGATTAAATTTAGTCTAGATGAAAATGAAGACTTCAAGACCTTGAATTTAAGAAGAGGTAAAAGAGGAAGACCAGCAAATTAAACAATTTAAATCTACTAGGATGTTATGACAATCCATTGCCAATTAACACTAACAAGAAAGCCGATTTGTTAAGTTTGTTACCATTGATGCATGAAGACTATCACCAGTTTTACTAAAGTCTTAGAACGTCTAATCAAGCCGCCGAAATATTGAAGATATTCATAGACTGGTGACCAGAATAGTGGAGTATGGAAAAGAGTACAGTCTAACAATGAACATCAAGAAGACGAAATTTATGGGAATATCGAAAACTCAAAGAAATAACGAGAATCTTCTAATAAAAAGAACCAACTTCGAAGAAGTGGACAAATAAGCATATCTGGGAACAATGAGTAACTCAACAAATTATTACATTTAGGAGATCAAAATTAGAATAGAAAAGGCTAGAGCAAATTTCAACAAAATGAGAAGAGTACTATCTCCAAGGGATTTAAAATTGGAACTAAAAGTTAGGTTGGCGAGGTGCTATGTAAGAAATGTCCATTCACTTGACTCTCGAACCAAAAATGACGCCAATATAGACGATTAACGAAATTTGATAAAAATACAAGGGTCCCTATGGAAGATTTTTGCCAAATTTTAAATTAAAAAATAATTTTTTTTGATGTTCCGAAGAATTCTGATAATATCGTGGATATAACAAGTCACAAACCAAGAGGTTCTGAGAAGGTTGAATAAAGAAATAGAAATTTTAAATACAATTAAAACAAGAAAATTGGAATATCTCGGACATATTACACGTGAAGAGATATAAACCTTGCTCCAACTGATTATGCAGGGAAAGATCCAAGGAAAGAGAAGCATGAAGAGTCATAGAATGTCATGGCTGCGCAACCTGAGAGAGTGGTATGGATGTATAGTTTCTACGATGTCAGTTGGACAAGTATAAAAACAAAATTCGACACTCAAGTGCCGGCGTCCTTTGTAAAACATAGGCGGCGCAATAGAAATTAAATAATAAACTTTTATTTTTAAATTAAGGTCTAATATTTTGTTAAACAGTAATAATATTGTTAATTATTCACATTTCTTTATGAACTTGACACCAAAGATGATTAAAAGTTAATACACATAGTCCATTCACTAACGGTAAAATATTGTAAAAACCTCTAAATTTTAAAGAACCACTGGGATTGACATGAAATTTGGCATACACATATAGCTAACGTGTCAAAGAAAAAAAGTGATATTGTGCCGATGTGTATTTTTGCCCTGGGGGTGGGTACCGCACCTTCTCGGGGGTGAAAAGATATACATCCAAAATAAGTCCGGAAGTGGATAAACTGACTAATTCTAGGCAACTTTTGTTCTATAGAGGTTTTTACTAAATCAATACTTTTCGAGTTATTTGCGAGTGAATATATTCATTTTTCAACAAAAACACCACGTTTTTGGACGATTTCTCGCAAATAACTCAAAAGGTAAGTATTTTATGGAAAAAATGTTCATAGCAAAAATACAGTTTATAAAAAAGTAAAAACAATGGTATATGTATGAAGTCTGTATACCCAGCAGAAGCAGAGTTATAGCTAATGAAAAATAGATTCTTACCTATTCGTCAAATTCCATATCGAATAATTCAACGTGAAATAATCAAAAAAATGTTTTTTTACTTTTTTTTTTAATTGTTTAAAGAAATCTTTATTTTTGATTTTTAAAAAAGTTTCTAGCATTAAATGTAAGCAAGTTACGCTCAAAACAAAGTTGATCCCTTTTTTTGGTAAAATATAATCATGAATATGATCTGTAAGTTTCATCGGTTTAAAGAGCTTATTTTTGAAAGATACTTACATGAAATCGGCCAATTCGTCTTCCAGTCGAATTGTCTCTTAGGTTATAGATTAATGGAGAGATCACATTTATTTCGATACACAGAACATATTTTTGACAAGTTGTGGAAGTCTTTGTAGAAATATTCAAACAATTAAACACTATCACTATCCGTGTGTCCAGAACTTGAGTCGTCGTTTGTGTTTATAACTACCGGTTCAATTGGTGGTAAAGTAGGATATTCTTTTTCTTTTACTTGAACATGCGCTACACAATTTTTCCAAATGTCAGTTTTGTTAAGTTCTTTGATCACTGTTCTTATATTTTGGACAACAACGTCACTTAATTGGGGAGATTGATTCATTTTCCGCAATTTCTTTTTTACATCGGCCCATATCATTTCAATTGGGTTGAAAACACAATGATATGGAGGGAGCCGTAAAACCGTATGCCCGTGGCGTTCAAAGAGTTTATCTATTACATATTCTTTTTGAAAATTTTGTTGCTTAATTAATTGCAACAATTCCTTTTTGGTACATTTACTAGGTGTTGCCATGCCTTTGTTCTCCATAAATTCTATGATATCTCCCTTCTTGGAGCTAGTATTTGGAATTTTGGTGTAGAGTCTAGAATGGTATGACGCATTATCCATTACTATCACGGAATTTGTTTTAATATTCGGTAACAGCTGTTCCGTTGCCCATTTTTCGAAAAGTTCAGCCGTCATATCCTCATGATAATCAGCTGATGACTGTTTAATGTTTTTGGCCGATAATAACAAGGCATTAGGTACAAACCCACTCTTAGTTCCAGCATGTAGAATTATAATTCTTTTTCCTCTCGAACAAGGAGTACTCAAGCAGCACTTTTTGCTATCATCCATCCAGCCATATTGAACTACATCATGGGTGTCAAACCACGTTTCATCAAGATACACAATGTCTCTATTGTCATCTCGATATTCCTTTATTTTACGTAAATAATGTTGCCTCTGTATCACAATCCTTGTAGATTCCATAATTACCATTCTCTTATCTAATTTTTTATAACTAAATCCGCATTCTATTAAAACACGCCTCAATGTATCAAGGGATTTATATGCATAATCGGGATATATTTTCAACTTGTCCTGAAGCATTTCCAACGTTGGAACTTTGTTGTCCTGATAAAATTCGTACACATAGCGACAAATAACGTCTTTAGTGGCCTTATCAATCTTTTTAAGGTTTTGTCCAACTCTTCGACGTTTAACAGAATGATCACTTACATCCCCAGCTGCAATAACACGTAAAACTGTCGTACGCGCAAGTTTGGTAAGTTCACATATCCTTAACACAATATTATTTTCCGAAAGTGTACTATTTTCGCCTCTTAAACAGGAATATATATTTAGAATAATCCTTTGCGCTTGAATATGTAAGTCCTTATTTACAAATTCCCAATTCATTGGTGTTGGATCTAAAAGAAATATTTTTACTTTTAATTGTTAAAAAAAGTAGATTAAGGGTGAATATTATGACCGAGCATCCCTATACAACTAATTATTAAACTAGTTTTAAATAAGAATTTACATACCTAAATCGTCCGTTGGATTGCCGCTAGTATTCTCGTTGGTATCACATTCAAATGGTCGCCAAAAAGCCATCTTTAATGTATTTACAACTTATTTTCTACTGTCTTAACTCAAACTTAACTAAAACACAACACTACTGTTTGCACAAAAATATTAAAAATATACGTGAACTTGCTGTCGTACACGACGATACTGAATATATCGTTTAGTATGAGAAACCTGAGAAGGCATTTTTGACCAGATAACGATCAAGTTTGAGCGTAATAACTTCCGAAGAATTTGACTAATTACACTTCAGTAGTGCCCGATAAGATACGTAGAAAGTAATAAACCACAGCTGCAATATGGACAATACCGTTAGTGATCAATTACAAATAATGTTTATATTTCTGAATTATTCGGGACTGGACCCTAAAAATTCCTTAACTTTTATTGAAATTTAAAATTGATGATTAAAAGTATATACATACATAATGCAAATGAAATGTAATGTGCTTATTAATTTGAGAACTAAAAAATGAGACTACAATTTTACTATAAAAATAAAATAATTTATATAATAAGTTTAAAATAAAATAAAATAAGTTTATCACGACGACACTGTTATTGTGTTTATTTAAATGCTTGCCGCCTTTGAAACATGAGAAGCAATTTTTACCTGCTAACGGCAAAGCCAGATTTGGTTATAGTGTATGCACTTCCGAAAAATTTGACCAATTACATTTCAGTATTACCCAATAAGATACGTTCAAATTAATAAGCCACACCAATATCCATGTGGACTAATACCAGGAGTAATCAATAATTAGAATTACAAAGATTTATCTTTATTTCTATGTTCGCCGTAGAATTACTGACCGGACCCCAAAAATTGTTCTTTCCCAATTCATATCATAACAACTTTACATCAAATGAACTTTTCAGAGCAGCCGTCTCAAAAGTCCCAATAGCTATGATGATTGCCGACCTCCGCCGCGGAGATGGCACTTAAAGAAGATGCGTATCTATTACTTGATGAAATGTTTTTTATTTACAGAAAATTTTGATAATTACTACATATTTTTATTGGAAATTAACCACAATTTCAGTTTAAAATACGTTTATTTTGACGTTTCAATTTCCACTTCGGAAATGGAAAGCAATAAATATAGACTTCCGAAATGGAAATCGAAATTGTAGTAATTTTATTCCCAATAAAAACAGCAAATTATATTAAAATGCCAAGTAAATATCTTTAGAATAAAAAATTTAGATTTATACCAAAAATTTTTTTTCAGGATTGGCCCCCGCGGCAGTGCTCATGGTTAAGAAAAATTGAAGTGTCTAGTCTACATTTTAAGGTGTTCTGTTCTTATAAATTATTTCAATTATACACTATGGTTTCTCATCTTCACGGATCAAAATAAATTTGCTACCTTACAATTAAGACGATTAATTAATTTTAAATTGGTAATATAATAATGTTATTCTTTCAGAAAAAATAAAATAGTTTGTATTATAATATTCAATCTTAATTGTGCCCTTTGTGTAGTTTATCCTTTGTCAAACATTTGCTGTATAACTTTCCTTGAGTGGTAGTTGAATTAAATATTTATGAAATAGGAATCACTAGAATATAATACAAACAAAACTAAAGCCATTGATTAAAAACTACACATAGATAGCTTATCTCATGCTAACAAAAAGACGTAACGACAATTAGATGGCACTACCTGAAAAATGTATCGAGATTTCTATCTGTGTATAACTTGCGAGTAGTTAAGAGTAGTGCCAGAGCAGAACTTATCCTATAGGTGTATTATCTACTTAAAGTCATGAAAATTTAAATGGGAATAAGCCACAATTAAAGGTTAAAATACGTTTATTGGCGTTTAAATTTCCACTTCGGAAATCGTTCTCAAAAAACGAAAATTTTCCGAAGTGGAAATTGAAACGTCAATAAACTCACTTTAACTTGTAATTATGGATGTAATGGGATAGTGAAGCGCAACATATAGCCACTTCTATTCAAATGTCAACCTCACCTGCTTGTATGATGATCTAGATCATGGTCTTCTGGTACATACTGCTAGATAACTAACGAGGCTCTGACATCCAAGTGTTTGCCGGGATAAGCAATCCAACATTTACTGGTCAACGGCTTAGGGCGGATGAACTAGTAAATGAAAGGACACTCTGTTGTCTTGAGACTGAGAAATTGGTCTCGAAGGCGGAAGAACCAAGAAAGTGGTCAATGGCATCAGAATGCAGAAGGCAACGAGAAACTACTGCATTAAAGCTCCCTGATGACATCTCTAGTATAAATTATAATGGCTAGCACTATTTGCGCAAGAAACATTATTGATTATTGTTATCGGAGACCAAAATCCAGCAGGGGAGGACAACCATCAGAACGCAAGGCCTCCTCGGTCGTCAACATGCGAAACCCTTGCACAAAAAACCAAAAAAAAATACTCAACCCTCTCAGATGAAAATAGCTACCTGGAATGTAAGAAGTATGTATCAGCCTGGAAAACTACATAATGTTATTCAAGAGAAAGAGAGGCTTAATATAGACATACTTGGGGTTAGCGATGTACAATGGCCAGGAAATGAACAGATATCAATAAATAACCACAATATTTATTACACTGGAAGAGAAAAAACTGATTATCGATACGGAGTAGCTTTCATCATAAACAACATTATTAGAAAATCAGTGCTAAGTGCGATTCAAATCTCAGAGAGAATAATAATGCTAAAAATTCAAGCACGAAACTGTAATATTAATATGATCAAAGTTTATGACAGCTGATAAGACCGAAGATGAGATCGATAAGTTTTATTCAGAATTGCACAATACAATCAAGTTAACAAAATCCAGGATATTACTTACATTTTAGGAGACTTTAATGCAAAAATTGGAGTAGGTACAGCTGAAAATATAGGTGGACAGTTCGAATTAGGAACTAGAAACGAGAGAGGAGAAAGGCTCAGAATTCTGCCAAGAAAAGAATATGGTAGTTGCCAATACTTGGTTTCAGCTTCCTGAGAGAAGACTATATACATGGACGTCTCCTTCATATACAGAAAACCACATTGTCAGAAACCAGATAGACTTTATACTCGTAAATAGATATAAAAACTATGACCTCAGTTAAAACCTATCCTGGAGCAGATGTTAACTCAGACCACAATCCGTTAGTTGCTGACGTGAAAATAAAATTAAAAAGAATTGAACTCAGGAAACAACAACCACAAAATTAATGTAAGAATGCTAAAAAATGAAGAAACAGAAAAACGAATTAAAAAATAATGTGAATGTTAATATGTAAAAAACACTAACAGACAACAAACAAATTATGGATGTAAATAGAAAGTGGTATAATATAAAAAACATATTACTGAAACCAGCTCAAGAAAGTTTGACACAACATACAGAGGCTAAAAAACAGTGGATGACAGAAGAAATATTATTACAGATGGAAGAAAGAAGGAAATATAATGTAAAAGATCTACAGAACTATAAAGAAATACAACGATTAATTAAGGATAAAATCAAAACAGCTAAGGAAATCTATTTGATGAGACAATGTAAAGTGATAGAAGAACTAGAAACAAAATATGATATGATAAATATGCACAAAAAAATAAGAGAAGTGACTAGAATGGCTCGAAATAGACACAGAAAATTGGAATATCTAGGTCACGTGATGAGGGGACCAAAATATGAAATTGTGAGACTCATAATACAGGGGAAGAATCTAAGTGGTTGGTATCAATGCAAATCGATTGATTAGTTTAGAGCAGCAAGTTCAAAAATAAAAATAGTCATTATGATTGCCATCCTCCGTAGGGAGACGGCACTCTAAGAAGAAGAACCTTTAATTGTGGCTTATTCCCATTTAAATAGTAATTACTTTAAAATGCCACAAGAAAATAGCTTCAGAACAATATCTACTAAAAGTTGCGTATTGTGCTGTTGTGACAAATTAAAGTGGAATTGTGTGTTTACGCAGGATGTTTTGAAATAAACGACAGATCAAATATATTTCTCTAAATTTCCCCTGAAAGACATAGAAGAATAAACATTTGGCAAAAAAATACGGGAACATTGATATTGTATTGATGGATGTCAGTGACCTGAAATAGAGGTTAATTTGTGAGCAACATTTTGCAGAGCAACAAGAAAATAATTAAGAAAAAATGCTGTTTCTCTAAAATTTACACAGTTAACAACTGATCTAGGTGAGTACTCATATCTTTAGAAACATTTTTATGTTTGCCTAAAGCACTTTGTCAATGATAATAGATTTAATACTCAGTGGCGGATTCAGAATTTTTTGTCGGGGAGGAGTCATAGGTCTTGAGGGTGATTTTGATATACGATTTAGATTTTTGCACCTTTACGATTGATATGATTTGTGCCTCATGTGAAGGAACCATTCTCTCAATAATTATTTTCAGCGATATATTAAATCAATGAGAAATTATTAAAACCCAAATACTCTACGGGCGCAAAGAAGGGTACAGCATTAAGGAGTCTTAAACTTAAACAAAAAAAAATTTAAAACCACATACTTTGACAGTAAAACAAAGTGTACAAAACTATTAAACCAAAGGAAAGTTATTAAAATATAAATACTGCAAAATCAAGGACTGTCAATTTAAACTAGATATTTTAAAGACAATTAATTTACACCCACCTATCCTATGGCTACAAAATTAAGAACAAACCAAGGATAAATAAGTATTAACCAATGTTCTCCTCTTCTTCTTCTTCTACTTTTTGTAGATCTTTCGATCTGTTTAATTCTGAAGCTGCCTCTAGTTAATTTCTTGGGAGGTAGATTGCCAACTATCCCTCCATCTTTTAGGTGGTCTTCCGGGGGTCTTGAACCGGGCGGATTGTTTTCTAGGGCAATTTTTGGGAGTCTATTCTCATCCGTTGTTATACGTGGTATACAGCCAGCTACAGGAATTTTTCCTTGTGGATTTTATTCTCATCCATTCGTCTTACATGGTTGTACCACATCCTCTTGCGCTGCCTTCCCCATCTTACAATATCTTGAATTTTGCACTGCTCTCTAATGTTTGTATTTCTCGCTATGTCTCTTCTTGTTTTCCCCATTATTGTTCTTAGGGTTTTCATTTCGGCAACCCTTAGCATTTGTTTCGTTTTGTTAGTATCTTCGCGCACTTCTATGCCATATGTCATGATCGGTCGTATGCAAGTCTTATAGATTCTAATTTTACTATCTGTGCGCATATACGGATTTGACTCCTCAGGTCCCTTACTGGGTCGTGGGTGCTTGATATATCTATGCCCAGATATCTGAATTGCATCACCTGTTCTATGGGGTTGTCCTCAATCACTAACTTACATCTGAGCGGATCTTTTGCTATTGTCATACATTTAGTTTTGTTGGTAGAGATGTTCATATTTAGTAGTCGGCTTGTTTGAAAGAACTGAAAGAGCTGCCGTTGGAGATCATCTTCTGATTCGGCAATAATTGCTGCATCGTCTGCGTAACACACCATACCAATTCTTTTGTTGCCCATTCTATATCCGAGATTAAGAGATGTTACTTTGTTGATAATTTTGCCCATGAGAAGATTAAACAAGAAGGGGCTTAAACTGTCGCCTTGTCTAATTCCTCCCGGTGTTGGAATATTTTCAGTGAATTCGTCTCCTGCTCTATCTTTGGTTACGTTGTTGTTATTTAGTTTATGGAGTATCTTTGTTATACTGGTCGGTGTTTCATTTTCTATTAATATATTTAGAATGTCTCCCAGACGAACTCTGTCAAATGCCTTCGTCAAATCAATGAAGCAAATATACGCTGGCATGCCGAACTCTATAGCTTTTTCTTTTATTTGTTTTATTATAAATACTGCGTCTGTTATAGACCGCCCTTTTGTAAAACCTAACCAATGTTAAGTAATTTAAATGCAATAACGTAATATAAGTGTAAACATTAATGATTGTATTAAACATTCCTAATAAACTCTATCTTATATGTAGATATCCGATATCAATTTGTAAAAACAATAATTTATTCCTTATTGCTATACGGAGTGGAAACATGGACTCTCGGAATTACAAGTATGAGTCGTATAGAACGCCTTTGAAATGTGTGTTTTTCGAAGGATGCTGAAGATTTCGTGGACAGAGCACGTGACCAACAATGAGGTGCTGAGAAGAATGAGGACTGAGAGAGAACTCCTAAATATTGTAAACAACATAAAAATATCCGAGTTATCTAGGACATATTTACAGAGGAGAAAAATATTACTTTGTACGACTCATAATGGTAGGGAAAGTAGAAGGAAAAAGTAGTCCAGGAACCAGAAAATGCTCCGGGCTGAAGAATGTAAGAGACTGGACAGGCATGGACACACATTCGATAATAAGAACATCTCAAGATAGAGAGCAGTTTGCTGTAGATATAGCCACCCTTTCGTAATGAAGAAGTAACCTTAAGGAGAAGTGTTAAC